GGGCACTGGATTCGGTGTCCCCAGTATGCAGTTCCTAATTAAACACGGACAGGGATATGCTGCGTCAATTTGCTGGTAGGCTCCCCGGAGATTGATTTATAGAGGGCCAGGCACAGTACACAGCTATGCGGTTCAGCAGCATTTTGAGGTATTGTCTGGGAAGATGCGAGCTGGCTGAACCCTTAAATCCACATCAGCTGGCAGCCACCCCCCGTAGCTGATCCCCTTCACAAACTCTCTGCTGTGACATGCCGAGCGTCTGAACCGGAGCCAAGCATGGATTTTGCAAATGGGCCCTCTATTTCTAAAGCGATGCACATAAAGTGTCCGGTGCCGAACAGGTCACCTTCCAGCTTCATAGCTCACCCCAAATCCTGGCTCCTTTCTCACCTCTGGGGTCCCCCTGGGGCTCTCCCTGAGGCTGTGGATGGGGAGCTGCAGGTTGAGCTGCCGGCAAACCTTCCGGCTGCCCTCTCAATCAGGCATTTGACAGTGCTCTCTTTTGCCCAGCTGGCATGGGATGAAAAAAATGACTTTGCCAATTAGTTTCCAATTCTATCTAGAGATTCAGTGTCTTTCTTGAAATGCAGGGTCGCTCAGGGCAGCTGGAGAAAGGAAGCTTGTGAGCCAAGGACAAAACGTAATGATAATAATGTGAGGCAGTGTGGGAATGTAAAATAGTTCCAGCCACTTAATCCAAAGTAAACTGTGACTGGCTTAGGAGTAATCATTTATTTTTAAAACTTTCTTTCTAAAAAATTAAGAATGACATACTAAGGAAAGGAGCAGGTTCAAAGGCAGATATCTAGACCAGAGCAAGACCAGGCAGATTTTCATCCTAAAGGCTAATATCAGAGGGGTGCAAAACCTGCCAGGGGGTGCAGGGAAGCTGTACCAGAGCTGACATGCCCCGCAGAGCTGTGTGTGCATGGCAAGGGGCAGGAGAGCTCAGCAAACACCTTGCACCCTGTGCCTGTGGCAAGAACACACACATAAGCAAGGAGCAAATTAAGCTAATGAGCAGCGATCTGTGAAACGGCGGTGTGTCTGCGGCTCGTGGTCATCTGGCTCCTGCTGGCTCCTGCAGCAAGCAGCACTTGTGCAGTGATGCAAGGGGATGGGTGTAAAGGAATCAAAGCTGGCACGGCTTTTGCTGAAGGGTTGGAGAAAAAGTTAAAGCAGCAATGACTTCTTTTAAAGGCTGGCTTTCTAAGGGGTAATTTTGGTCATTTCACCCGCTGTACAGCTCAGTGTCAGCACTGCCAGCAAATAACTGCTCTGATGGGAGCAGCCAAACAGCGTGGTGTGTGTCTGTGTGCAAGCAGCAAACCAAAATGCATATTCTTATGTTTAAAAAACGTGAAGTATAGAAAAATGTATTAGAAAAAGGGAACAAAGGGCCATGCGTTTTACAAGTGCTCTCAGATGAAGTGCCCTTGGGCAAACACATCCACTGCAGGATGGAAGAAATATTGCAAGAACAGGATGTAAACTTGTGTTTCTGTGCAGATTGGTGGGGGCAGCAGGTGTACGTCCTGGGGTGTGATCTTCACCTCTGCTCTGCTGATGAAATGAACCAAGCTGTCCCAGCCGCGCACCAGCCTGGAATTCTTGCTCCGCGTGCATTCCCTGGAGTGAAAAAGGTGGGCTCCAAAATAATAAAAATAATAAAGGTAATCCAAAGGAAAAACTAAAAGTGCTGGAGAGGAGGCAAAGAAATCTCCTGCTCACATCTGTATCACCAGCTGTAGCCCTCAGCATCATGCCAATCTGTATTTCATCACTTCTTGTGAACACAAGTAAAAATGGCAGCCCCGCAGGGATTACCCAGAACCCAGTTAACAGCAAAAAGATTTTGAAGTGCAGAAAGTTAAAAAGGTTTCCAGTTTCCTAGTTTAATTTCCATGTTTTGATGACCTGAAGTCATCTAAGGCAGTGATATTAAAAAAAAAAAATCTATGGCATTTTCTTAAGGGACAAATTATTTTTAGCCTTGGAGATTTAAAGCTCTCTCCAGGTTCCTGAACTCTGAGAACTTGTCTTCACTAAGAAGCTTGACAGCTAAGCAGGTTCTCTTTTCTCCCAACTTTTCAACTGATCTAATTAAAATATGTAAAATCTCCCTTTCTGCACGATGAAGGAATATAGCATTTTTTTTTTTTCCCAGAGAGATAAAAGGCAATTTCTAGAGACTCTATTTCTAAGAATAACTGCTTCCCTCTTTGTTTTGAGTGCTCAGCCACTTGTCCCATTTCAATTAATGGGAGAAAAATGGGAAATAAACAAGCTCACCCACTTTCCTTGTTTTTGGCCTCGAGATTACTGGCACCATACAGCTTTTGTAAGACAGAAAATTGGTTGTAAATGAGTGACCAGGCCTGACTGACTGACACCAGTACCACTGCACACTGCCAGAGGAGAATGCTGGAGCTGGGCATACGTTGACACCTGGCTCTGTGTGTTTTAACTTGGTTCAGGTGCCTCCAGAGGAATGACTTCCCAAGTAGAATATAGTTACAGTTCTTTAATTAATTTTGTGTTAGTATCACTTTTCAAAAATTACACTGCTTTTTAGTCACCCACATTTATTTATGATACACAGCCCAAATGTTGCTGGAGAAGGCTTGATGAACAGACTACCCAAAAGGCATGAAAAAGCCAACAAACCTCCCCAACATCTGGGACACCGGGATTTTGGGGGCTGTATTGTGCTACTATTTCAAGTGAAGTTGCCCTCCATCCAGCAGGGCACCAGCTGCAGCCTTGTCCTGCTTGCCAGTGACCTCAGTTGCCAGTGTCTGGAGCATGCAGAGCTCCATCAGCTTCTCCTATCGTCCCCCAGGCAGCATTGCACCCTTTCTGCCATGCACAGACCAACCCTTTCTCCCTCCAGGCACTGCTTGCCTTGCAGTGGGCCCTGACCGGGCAGGACCCAGGGGCTGCTGTGAGATGCAGGCCAAAAAAATCCTAAGGATCATATACAAAGGGAAATTAGTTAAACAAATCAGAAGGTATGGCTAGAAGAGCCCTTACTGCCACTCTACAGTGGCCTGAGGCTTTTGCTTCATAATTACAACTATATTTTTTCCTTTCACACCAAGCTATCCTCTGTCCATAATCTTGGAACCTAATCTTGGCGGCTAGAGGGCCTCTCTCCTTGGGCTCAGGGCCATTCCCTGGCAGTGAATTCAGTTCATCCCGCTAGAAGAGACACTCCAATGTTATTTACAAAGCCCGTGCACCCACTCAATTAGCACATACACACATATACGGTACAGCGAAACCCGCTCAGCAACGCATCGCACGTCCGAGGCCTGGGATTTAAAACCAAACTCTTTAGCACGGGTTGACTGAATCCGAGCAGGAAGAAAATCGTTTTGTGTTCTTGGACTGACAGAAAATGTAGGCTGAAGTTTTGAATAAATGATTTGCTCTGAATCATTTACTCAGCACTACTCGGTACCTCAGAGGACAAGAATGGTTCCTAAACATTTTCTGTGATAAAATATTGAATCGACGCTAATACCGCTTTGCGGGGGAAGCAGTGTGAGGCCGATGCCCACGGTAACATAGCCTGCACGCCCTTGGCATGGCTGCTGGCAGGCTCAGGAGCCCGGTGCTGCCTGGTGGTGTGGCTGCGTCCTCATCACCGATGCTGCACCTCAACTCACGGGTGGGTGCCTCTGACAGCCAAAATGGTCCCTCTGCACAGGCTGCTGCTGGCAGAGTGCTTTCCTGTGAAAAAGCATTGAGTCGGAGTGTTAGTGTGCATTATTTATCTTTTAATAATGCCGTGGCAAAGTTTAGAGGAGTTCGGCAATAACTGTAATCACTGAAAGGCACAGGATGTGGGCTTGACAGGCCTACAAGGCCAGTTAAAAACTCCTCTTGATCGTCAAGCCTTGGTTTCAAGCATGAGGTAAAAAAGACTCCTCGTAACTGTGACTAAGCACAAAAGCCAGGATCTTGTGCCTGTGACAGACATGTGGTGGATTCGTGTCAGAGATCAGTGGAATGACATCAACATGCTCCCGTAAGCATGCCACCAGGATGACGTGAGGAAAGCATTTCTGGACATGGAAATGGTGAAAACTGGATTTCACTGGACTCAGTCTGTCAGTCAGTGAGCAGTGAGATTTTCCCCATTGTCTGGTAGAATTAGACACTTGTATGTGACAATATCTGGGAAACAAGGAGGAGGTATGTGCCCCCAGCCCTGGGATGGCTGGGAAGGTCAAGTTGACAGCTGGTGATACCTGGGTGTCATGCTGGTGAGGGGCCGGGAACACAAGTCCTGTGAGGAGCGGGTGAGGAAACTGGGGCTGGAAGAGGCGGCTCAACCTTACTGCTCTTTACAACTACCTGAAAGGAAGCTCTTGGGAAGCTGGGGGTTGGCCTCTTTTCACAGTGATAGGACTAGAGGGAACGGCCTCAAGTTGCACCAGGGGAGGTTTAGGTTGGAAATGAGGAGACATTTCTCCTCAGAAAGGGCAGTCAAGTATTGGAATGGGTTGCCCAGGGAAGTGGTGGCATCACTGTCCCTGGGGGTGTTCAAGGAAAGGTTGGATGTGGTGCGTAGGGACATGGTTTAGTGGGTGACAGTGGTGGTAGAGGCATGGTTGGACCAGATGATCTTGGAGGGCTTTTCCAGCCTTAATGGTTCTATAACATGATGGTGCACCGCAATGTGACAGCACATTTGGCAACCCCTCTCCCTTCATGGCAGGGGCCGGTGATCCTTGAGGTCCCTTCCCACCCAAGCCACTCTGTACATTTTGGCTGGATGAGGCCGGGCCGGACGACCACCTTCATCTGTGCCAGCGGCGATCGGGCCTGATTCTGGAGGGACAAGGCCGGTCGCTGTGCCAGGTCGGGGCCCCAGCCTCCGCCATCTCCCTGCGAGGGGCGCCTGAGGAGCCTGCCGCGAGGGGATGGCGGCGGGCGGGTGTGCCCGCGTGTGCGTGTGTGAGGGGCGGGTGTCTCGGCGTGCGAGGGGCGGCGTGTGCCCGCCGGCGAGTGCGAGGGGCGCTGCGTGTGCCCGGGCTCGCTCCTGCTCCCGGCTCCGGCCCGCCGAGAGGGAGCACCGCGGGCAGCCGGGGCTCTCATCCCGGGGAGGAGGGTCGCAGCCCTGCCCGGCGCCTCCCTCCTCCCCGCCGCCGGGGCGATGCCGCGCCCTCCGTGCCCTGCCTGCCGGCGGCCCCGCGGCTCCGCGCCGCGCCCGGCGGCGTAGCGAGCCCGGCTGGGCAGGGGGGCGGCCATGGGGGCTGCCGCCCCCGCGGCTCTCGGCGCCGAGCGGATTACGAAGGAGCGGCTCGGGGCGGCCCAAGGGCGGCCCGGCATGTAGAGCCTGACGGAGCGGCGCGGAGGTGAGCGGCACCCCGGGGTGCGGGAAGAGGAGGAGGTGAGGGGGGGTGGGGGGGTGGCTGGGTGCCCCCTGCGGGGGCTGCTCCGCCAGGACTTGCGGCTCGGAGCCACCTGCCCGGGTCCCCCCCTTGGGGTTTTGGCCGCCCTGCAGCAGCCGGCACGGCAGGGGACCCTGCGAGTTGGTTGATGAATTAAATGAATTCTGTCGTTGGGGCGTGCTCCGTCTTCATGGCGAGACATCGGGCTGACCTGCCGGCCTGAAACCTCGGGGGTCGTGAGGCGGCTGTGCCCTGCTGCCATAAAATATTTACCTCATTTGCTACCCTCAGTCCGCAGCCCGTCGGGTGTCTGGTATAGTTGATGTTAAATTCCCTATCCTTAAAGAAAAAAAAACACACAGATTTTCAGACTCCTCCTAAGTTCATTTGTTTACTATGGAGCTGTGACTTCAGTGGTCGCTTTGGTATCAAAACATTCTGCTGGTGTGATATTTTTGGTGGCTCTGACACCGGGTTGGTTAGTCATGGTTATGAATATGGTAATACGCCATGAAACTCCGCGTCCTTTCAGTAACATGGTTGAACGGGCACGTAGGAAGCCTGGCGGTTCCTCGCCGCCAACTTCCAGCACATCTCCTCCTCGCAACTTTCCTGTGCTACGGTAAAAATGCTGCTCCCGACGGCTGGCCGGGCGGAGGCGAGCCCTAAGTTTGGCGTGAGGTGCTCCTCCTCGCACGCAGGCTTATGCAACGCGGTGCCCGGTGCGGGGAGAAGGAGGGAGATGGCAGGGAAGGTTTGGGGAAGAAGGGTGGCCAGGCAGTGACGGTGCCTGCCTGTGCCTGAAAACCCGAGGAGCGTTGTTCTCTGGTTCTGTGGGCGTCCTGGCTGGTCCCGGGCAAGTCTCCGGAGCCTCTTGGTGTTGCTTGCTTTCTCTGTAAAATAACGGCTTGGCCGGTGTTGCTGCTTCTCAGGGCTGCGAAGCTGCTCGGAAGCCCTTGGAAACACTTTTCAGCCAGGAGGTACTGTGTAAATGCAAATTACTACAGCAATACTATTTCAAAAACGCTTTTCAGAAGTTAGATCAGGGTCCTTAGGCAGTTTATTGAACCTATGCGGCCAAATACATTTTTGGACAGCTCCAAAGCAGACTGAAGTATTAATCCCCTGTAAAGAGATCTAGGATCCTTTCTCAATAAAAAAAAAAATAAATATCACCCTTAGGTGTCACCAGAGGTGTCACTCCGTGAATATTTGCCCCCCGGTTTCTCTGCATGTAACTTGGTGGTCATTATCAGCTGAAGCAATGCTTTGGTTTTAGGCTGCTGTAGCTGCAGGTGGTGGCTGAAGACATGAAAGAGCTCACCCTGACCACATCAGCTGGCCCAGCGTGAGCCTCTGGTCCCCGTGGCGGGGCTTTGCTCATGCACGGGGCTGTGCTTTTATCCTGAGAGATTGCAATGATCTCTACGCTGTCAGCTAAGAGCAAGTCTTCCTAGGCAAGAACTGTGTCTCAGGTTCTACAACAGGGCACATTTCTAGCATTTAAACAAAACAAAACAAAAAAACGCCAGGTACTGGCTTTTTTTTTTTTTTTTTTAACTGCGAAAAGAAACTAGATGGAGAAGGACTTGAGTCTAAAACTGACCTCTGATCAGTTTTAATTTGTCTTGCGAGCATATAGAGCATTAACAGAATTTCTTGTTACTGGGATTTTGAGAGAATTCCTTATGATTTGAGGTGCATTGTTTTTACTTCAGCATACTGAAATCTCATTGTTTTTGTAACATGTTTTTTAAAAGGCATTCTTATTTTTCTTAACCACCTTCTGCTTTTGTAGGATCCCTGAGTAGCTTCTAATCGGAATTGCGTTTGAGGTAATGCAGAATTCTTTGACTAGTTTGCTTTTTGCAAAGATTTATTTTCAGGCAACCTTAAAAAATTCTTAGAATGTCGATTCTGAGGTCTTTTCATGTTGTGGTTTTAATAGACAAGGCACTGTCGGCTGAGTTATGAGTCTTCCTAATAATACGATTAGTCTGTTTTTTTGAGGGATGTCGTTCTTGAAAACATACCTCAGAGGAAAAAAAATTGCAAAAGCTATGCGCAAATAATTTTTTCCTACAACAGATGGAAGAGCTTGATAATCACCGCTTAAGGGTGACTAAAATTAGTTTGAAACAGAAAAGATTATTCCTACAAGTACAGTAGTATAATTTGTACGAAATGAGCCAAATTCTACTAATTGTTCCACTGGTGTAAATATAGAGTAATATCTTCGCCTGGAGTTTCTCCTTTTTTATAAAGTAACGTAGAACACAGGGGACTGTAATCTGTTGACTTTTTACGTGTTTGTCACAAAGGTGAGTTCTTTCTGAAGCCTGGTGGCAGAACACGACCCAGGGTTTAGCCCCCTGTTCTTGTATTTGGAGCAGCGTAATGTTCTCTTACAGAGCCTCCAATTCAAAATTTGCTGTAATACGATTGTGGGGAGAGGGTTGCTGAATGACTCAGATGAATGTAGCTCGGAGTAAACAAACATGTAAATCATTTCTGGCTACAGAGAGAGAGAAAAGGAAACATGGAAGAGCAGAGAAAAGCCAGCCTCAAGGATGAGACATTTATCGAGACGTGCTCAGCAAGGACCACCAAGTTCAGCAGGATTTAGCTGTCAAAAATTCAGGACTGGATGTGCAGCACTCTTATTTATTTATTTTTGACCTTCAGTAATGAGAGGAACTTGTAGGAAGTGAGCGCAACTGTTAGAGGCACGCAGAGGTTTCCAGCTGTTTGGTTGGGCTGGTAAGGCTGGCACAAAGCTGAGCAGTGGGCATGCTTACGTGGCCCTCCCGAGAGCAGCGAACCGTGAACACTGCCTCTCGGAGGGGGAGGATGCCACCACTCACAGAGCGGCAGGCTCCACAGCATCCAGTTTGGGAAAAACACAAGCTAGCGAGTGGTTCCTGGAAGTTTCTGAACCCCAACCTAATAACGTTGTTGTGGGTAACCACAGAAGGATGCGGACGCAGCTTGTGGTTCAGATTAAGAAGTACCAGCTTTAAATCAACTTTAGGTTTCTTTGTAACTAGGTGAGTCCCCAGAACAAAATCGGAGCGTGGCAAGGACTATTCTCATTTGTCTTCCCTGCTGAGGGAGATTACCCGCAGGCACAAATCAATTCGACAGAGCATCTGGCCAGCCAGGTCCTCCTCTGAATGCCCAGGGGAGAGCGGTACCGCAGGTAGGAGTTGCGGGCAGAGGGAGCTGTCGCTGGGGGAGAAAACTGTAGGCACTGGAAAGCTGGGGTGGGATTTTTATCCCTCTCAGCTGCCTGAGCTGTTACGCTTCAGTGTGTTTTCAGGGTAAGTCAGGTTAATGCTCGTGGGGAAGCGAGAAATGTGCTGGCATCCGGGGGTGAAATGAGGAGAGCCGGGGCTGGTCCCCTTCTGAGCGAGGATCAGTGCCCCACAGCTCTGCCTCCTGCTTTGGGCACTTCTGGCATCGTCTCACGGGGAGGATGCTGCGTTGCTGTGTTGCTCCAGGTGAAACCTGTGCTCTTCCCGAGGTACAGGCCTGCCTCCGAGAGCAGTGAGGAGTCCTCAGGGTGAAGCGTGGCTGGAGGAACTGGCATCTCCTGCAGTGTTTGCTGAAAGATGATGGCTGTGAAGGGGAGGAGCTGGAAGGACAAGGTGTATTTCTGTGTCTGCATAGCAGACCTCCGTCCTCCTTTCTCCATCCTCTTGTTTTCTTTAGAGTCCATCTGGCTGTACACGGCGCTGGTCACAGTGGCCACACTGGGAAACTTGACTTTAGGCAGCAGGACCGCGTGACAAGGCTCCCAGATCAAATGGTTGCTGGTAGGAGTGATGGGTGTTCCTGTTAGATTGCTGGACGTGTATTATTATTTATTCTCGACGCAGTCTCTGGATCCAAGCCAAGAAGCTATTTTGTCCTGATTCCCTTCTCCCTCCACTCAGTCTCTCCCTCTCTTTGTGCGCAGTGAACATGTTCCAGTCAGAACCGAAGCCATTTCCTGGCCCCTTTCGTGTGTCCTGCAGCCCGTTTGCATCCGTAAGCGATGAAATCCGACCCAGTGTTTGGGAAGCGCTGACTTCAGCACCCGGACAGGGTGGGTGATGTTTCCCGTCATGCCCGCTAATTAAATTGTAGCGCGCATTAGTGCAGGGTGCTGCGGGGAGAGAAAGCGTCAGCAGGTTGGAAAAGATGAGACGAGTTCACAAGGAGCAGGGGGTGGACGGGGGAGGCACGGTGGGCTGGGGGCAACCTCTCGCTGCCGGCACTGCCACTTGTCAGAGGCACGGAGGGAAGAGCTCCGGAGGATGCAGTGGGCACAGGCTGCTTCCCACCACCAGAGAGAGCATCCAGGGATGAAAGGCCCACGGGGCTGACGCGTGCCCCTACTCTCCTGGCGCTGACAGGCGTAGCTCGCTAAAACACAGCAATACACTTCCTTTCTTCTCAGTAAAACAGGGAGGAAAAGGAGCAGATGACATAGCGTTTATTGGGCATTTTGGTAGCAGAAGGATGGCCGGAGTGGAGATTTCAGCTTGCTCTCACAGGTATTAATGGATTAACGTAGGAAGCTGCTAGAATTTCATTGTGAAGCCTTCCTGGCAGAGTACAAAGCCACTTGGGGCTCAGGGCTCTGTTTGGGACGAGAGGATAAAATAATTGTATTTTCTCATTCAGTCTTTGTGTCCTGCTCAGTCTGGCTTGTTGCGTGCTGTGAAATGGAGGTGCTGATCTCTTCCTTAGCCTGGAGCTGCAGCTAATGGAAGTAGCCGTAGTGTGTACTGGAGTACTTGAAAGCTTCCAGGTGGGGAGACCTCCAGGTTTGTAAAATTTCCCTAAAGCCCTAAAATCATTATTCGTAGTGGGACCGAGAGGAATAAAGGTTGCCAGGACATCAGCTCCTCCTCGCAGGACCCTTCACGCCGTTCCCCTAGGAGATCAGGTCAGCTGCAGGGATGTGGGCACCGTATGAA